GCATGATTTAGTTCATTTGTTAGATTGTTAACATCTTACACTATATTTCTTTTAGTTGAATTTTATATGCTTTGGTCGAGATTTTATATTGATGTTAAATCTTTAAAGCTTTTTTTGTTAAAGAATTGACTCTAGAGTGCATATTTTGTGTCCATGAAAAAAACTATTTCAGAAAAATATTACAATATTAAAGAACTGTTCTTGTTAATTTGATGAAAACATTTTAAATTTCCAGTGCACTCACATCAGAATAACTAATAGATTTGTTGTTAGAATAATCGATTAATCGAAAAAATAATTGTTAGATAAATCAATTAGAAAATAATCATTTGGTACAGCACTATAAGGCAATATGTAATATGTACAATATTTGAAAATTGGCATGTATCAATAATTTAGAATGTTGGTGTAATTTGTTTGCTTCTAGAATGAACAAAGATGACATTGTGCATCTTATCTTAACTAATAATAATAATAATAACAATAATAATGCATTTTATTTATAAAGCACCTTTCAGGACACCCAAGGACGCTGTACAACAGAAAAGAAACAACTCCAGATACATAGAATGATGGGTAGTGTGGGAGAAACATAGAAATGAGGACTAGAAAACAGTCATTTATTGAGGTACAATGATCAGATTCTGGGTGTGAACTGTGGGAAGAGTCCTGAACGGAGAAGAGAAACTGGTTGTCTCTTTTTGCTCCTACAGATGAGGTAGGTATGTAGCTCACATTTTCTCCTTACCTCCCTGCGAGGCCGGGGAACTGGCATTGGGTGACCCTTCCTTGGCAGAGTGTGACCTCGAAAGCAGCTCTTCTGAGTACCAAAGTGTCTTTAAGGACCAGGACTGCCACCCCGGGTWAGGTGGAGATTTAAAGGGGCTCATGTTGTTATCTGAGCCTTGCAGATGGAGAGAAGTCCAGCCTCAGCCACACTTTTCATCTTATCTCTGAAGCTCACGTAGTTTGTATTTTTTTTACTTCCTGTTTTGACAGCAGAACTAACTGAGAGACATGAAGACAGTTGTACAATTTATTGGATTCATTTAGTAAAAATAACAATCTAAAACACTCATTCACATCAGTTGTTTTTGTTACAATACAACATTTGTTACAATATTCCAACACATTTTATCCCTTCTTTCAGAAGCAACAGTCACTTTAGGAGAGACAGTATTAGAACTTATCTGGTCTCAGTCAGGTCCAGGTATGGTCTCAGTCAGGTCCAGGTCTATCTCTGCTGACTGGTCTCAGTCAGGTCCAGGTCTATCCCGGACAGCAGATCTCCTCCACAGGAGCGGTTCAGCAGCTCTTTGAGTGCTTCGTTCACATCGTTGTTGAAGACGGGGGRGAAGCTGCTGTTGGGGTACCCTCCTCCTCCTTCCTCCATCTGGAAGGACCCCACGGCCTCCTGGACCCACTTCAGCTCGTTGCTAAGCTCCAGGCACAGTGCATCAAAGTGACCCCGCCTCTCCTGGTAGCGCTCGCTGACGGCAGCGAGACCACAGCTGAAGGCCTGCATGTCGTCCTGCAGGCTCTTCTTGGAGGCCTCCACCTTCCTGAACTCGTAGCGGATCTGTGAGAGCTCGTGGCGCACGGCCTCGCTCTCCTCCTTGTACCAGGCCTCCTTCTCGTTGTAGATGGAGACCAAGGCGTCAATGTCCTCCTGCAGGGTATCGTGGGCCACCGCCAGAGAAACGAAAGAGCTCTCCATCTGGTCGATGTCCTCCACCACCTGGGCGAAGCGCTCAAAGTTTACGTAGGTGTTGTTTGGTGGCATGCTGGAGTGGGACTTGATGGTATACTCCCTCAGACGCTTGGTCTTCAGCCGCCGTCGCTCTGGTTTCTTTGGCTCTTTGGCCTTCTCCTCCTTGTGTTCGTTGGACTGAAGGAGTTAAAAAGAGAAAAAAAGGAAACAACTGCTAATAATAATAACTTATGGCAGGAACAGGATGAATGTTCCCTTTGTGCATGTGCTGTTCGAGTAAATATTGTCAACAAAGATCCGATAYAGGCCGGTATCATCCTAGACTGCTTCTTTATTCAGGGGTGTTTCTGCTTCCTGGGCTGAAATGAGGGGTTCCACTGGAAACAATATGTGCTGCAGCGTTCTGGGCCTCCCCAAGCATGCTGAGCAGATTTTACATCAATGTGGCCGCCCCTCATCCTCTCGGCCAAGTGCTTCTACAAGGATCCTCTGGTCCAAGGTAGGGATGCATGATACATCGGCATTAATATCAGTATCAGCCGATATTGGTTTTTTAAAATATCGGTATTGGTCCGATATGTAAAACTGGGCTGATATTAACATCCAGTATTTATTTCCCACCTTTTATTTTTGTGTTTGTGTTTTGGGAGGGGAGATGGTTGGTTGAGCAGCATCTGTTTGATCATGATAGTGATAGTGATTCTGCACAGCCAGGAATGACTAAAGTATAGAGCCATGTCAGAGGTCTGGTCGTTTATTTACAATATCAAAAAAAAGACTCAAGTGTGTAATAATAATGTATAATATAATTTGTGTGTTTGTGTAATATCGGTAAATATCGGTTATCGGCCATAACAGCAATAATTATATCGGATAGCGATATCAGCTGGAATTTTCATATCGGTGCATCCCTAGTCCAAGGGTCCTCCTCGGTGAGGTATGTGCCCAGGATTCTTTATGACATTGTTGGTATTAGTCGTTCAGTGCTTTCTGCACTGCCATCTGGTGGACAGGAGGGCTTCATACAACGTTAGTTCATTCGTAACTTCTTATTTATCTCAATCTAAACACTTTTCACTTTTGCATTGTTTTTAAGTTACCTTAATCTAAAACAGAATTCCTCATATTACAAACTGAGATATTTTTATATTTTTATATATTTTATTGTTATTATTTTGCTAATATTGTTCACTCTAGTGTCTTTTAATCTTTTTTTAAATGATGCTTTTAGCTACCGTTCTGCCAGTTTTAACTTGTTGCTACTTTCTGTTGCTTTAACCTTTAAGTTATCAATTTACTACTTTCAGCAATTCAGCTCTTTTTAAAATTTAGCTGCAGTCTTGCTAACTTTAGCTACTTTCCTGCTAATTTAGCATTTGTTTGCTACAATTTTGTCAGTATTAGCAGCACCTGTTTTTCTCATTTATTTTGGAAACATTTTAATTATTTTAGCTGCTGTTTTGCTGAATGTAATTCCTGTTCAGCTCATATTACCATTTTGCTTTGTAGCTTTTAGCTTGTGTTCTGTTCCCTTTAGCCTCTGTTTTGCACATTTTATTTATTTATTAACTTTTGTGTGTTTTTGTTCTCTTCAGGTTTGATTTGAAGGATTTTAGAACCTGGTAAAGATCAGCTCAGTTTGATAGATCAAAGCCCAGAACTAAAGAGGACTTTTATTTAAGTTCTGTGACTAAAATAATATGACTCATAAATCGTTTCAGATTACCTTGATCCAGGGATGATTCAGAGCGTCCTGAATTGTTAATCTCTTCCTGGGAGACAAAAAAAAAGGGCAGGAATCAGGTTCAGAGTGTTTCAGAGACAAACCATGCTCCGTACTTCTTATCTTTTTCCAGCAGCTGGCTGATGAACTTCTTGGCCAGCTCGCTGGTGTGACCGAAGAACTCCTCGTCAAACTCGTAGTTCACGGCTGAGATGTTGCCCAGGGTGTCCTGTTTGGTCTCCCCCAGGAATGGAGAGGCTCCGCTCAACCTGGATCAAAGAAACTTTCTGTTGCTCTGTAACCGTTCAGAATCAGGACTTCCAGAGGTTCCTTACAGGATGTAGGTGATCACCCCGATGCTCCACATGTCTGCTTCCAGACCCAGCGGCTCGTAGTTAACGATCTCTGGAGCTTCAGAAGCCAACGAGACAGAAACATGAGCGTTGGGTGCAAAAGATTCCTCAAAAACACCAAACAGTAAGGTTAATGTACAGTTCTGTGCAGTCTGACAGGTCAARGTTACATGTTGGGGACTGTGTCCTGCATGAGTTCATGAAGTTTTTTACTAACTGACCCATAACAAACCCACACATGATAAATGTCACAGCACCTTGTACCCTATGGTCCAGAGGAGCAGATATAAATCTCTTAATAAACTCTGAGTCAAGCGTTAATTTCTCCGTCAGCGTTGGATCCCTGCTGATCCATTCTGCTCTCAGACAGGAAGAAACAAACTCGTCTCACCTACAAACTCCGGCGTCCCAAAGATGTTTTTGAACTCCACCCCGGCCTCGATCTTATGGGCGAGGCCGAAATCGATCAGTTTGATCCTCGGCAGGAAGACGTTCTTGTCCAACAGCATGATGTTTTCAGGCTGCAGAGGCACAAAAACAAACATGAAAAAAATTCAAACTAAAGATGTGCAGGACTTTCTTATTCTACAGGTCCAACAAGGAAAACCTAAAGACAAAAAACCTCAAATGTACTGGATCAGTGCAACATTGAACCAGATAACCCATCACTGGCCACWTGGACTGAAGCCACTCAGGAGAACAAGCATATCTAGCTGGTATCATTCAACACAAGCTCCAGCTCCTTCACCAGTAATGTGACATCCCATGACTCTAAGATAACACCCAACCATGATGGTCCTCCACGCAGGTGGTGGGCTCACATCCTGTCTCTCTTTCAGGCTTGGCCCGACCAAGCTCTGGGTCCACGTCTCAATCCTTAAAAAAGTTTGCATAGTAAGTTCTCCTCATAAATTTTACATACATTTATATTGAACATAAAAAGTTGAAAGACTTCTTCTGCAAGAAAGTTTAAGAGAAGAAGAATTCCATAAGCTTGATTCATGCTGGACTTTACTTGACTCATTAGCACCTCTAGTGTTTGGACATAGAACTGTGTCCACCATCATCACAGATGTTTGTTTTATTTATTTATTTATTTATTTATTTATTTATT